AACTTATTAATTAAAATATACAGACTACATAAATAGATTTAAAAAGAAAATTCAATTATTTCTTGTCTTCGAGAAACTCAATTTACTGGTAAAGACACTCACAGACTGAAAACCAAAAACTGGACGTAGGTTTCTGAGGCAAACAGTAGGCAGGCACTGGAGCCGGGCTAGGGAGGAATGGTGCTGAGCGCGCTGCGTCCACGGCATCCTCAGCTGGTTTTCTCAAACAGTTCAGTGCCACCAATAAGCACAAGTGGCACCACCCACGGTGGGCTGGGCTCTCTCTTGTCAATCATGGAAAAAAACAAAACAAAACAAAACAAAAGCCCTACAGACATGCTCATAGACCAGTCCGATGGAGGAAATTCCTCTCTTGAAATTACCTCTTTTTGAGTATGTCTAGGTTTATGTCAAGTTGACAAACACTAACTGGCACAAACGTAGATGTAAATATTTTAGTAAATACTTAATGATGGAATTCAAGAACACATTAAAAATAATATGCTGAGAACTGTTAGTTTCATTTCAGGAATACAAGGGTTGTTCAACATGGATTGTTCAATATGTGGATTATAACACACAAATGGGCTTCAGAACAGAAATCACAAGATTATCTAATGGTTACATATAAATTAGTTGACAAAGTGCCTCATTCCTTCTTGCTAAAAGCCTGGAGAAAATAGGAGTTGAAGGAACATACCTCAACATCATAGAAGTTATTTATGTAAATCTATAGTCAACATTATACTGAACGAAAAATGCTGAAAATACATAAGGAGCAATTTTATATTCTTATTCAATGCTGTGCTCAGAGTCTTAACTAGGGAAATAAGACAAGAAATCCAGGGTATACAAAGGAAAGGGAGAATTTGCATTTTTTTATTTGGTTTTTAGAGACAGGGTTTCTCTGTAGCTTTGGAGACTGTCCTGGAACTAGCTCTTGTAGACCAAGCTGGCTTCAAACTCACAGAGATCCGCCTGTCTCTTCCTCCCACATACTGGGATTAAAGGTGTGCGTTACCACCGCCGAACAAACCTGCCTTTCTTTATTAGTACTGTTTTTCTAATGAAAATGTGGTACATATGCAGAGGAACTTTATTAGATCTAAAAAACATGCTATCCTGTTTTCAGGAAAATGGATGGAACTGTAGATCATCATATTAAGGAAAAGAAATCAGATTTACATGAATAGTGTATATTTGGTCTCATATATATATATGCAATCTAGATTTATATATTGTATATGTATATATGTAACATGCAGTTATTTGGTCCACAATCGACTTCAAACCAAGCAGAGGAGATAAAGACGCCCAGTACATATTAATAAAGAGAAAAAATAGTAAGAAGATACAACAGTTCTAAATGTATATGCACCAAAGCTTGGTGCTCACCATTTTCTAAACAAATATTAATGAATATAAAATATCACATAAGTCTTGGCATAATAATAGTGGATTATTTGGGATATAGGTAAGACATTCAAACTGAAAATAAACAGAAACTTTAAACTACACTTTTGCATCAAAGGTATAGTCCATGCAGCATATAAGAGCAATGCCTCCCCTGCCTCCAGCATCTGTCAAAAGCCTAGAGTTCTCTAGGGTTACAGAGGCACCATGACCCCTTCCCATCTCTGACACAGTATTGCGAGGTCCAGTGCAAGGGCCATGTCATGCGTAGAAGACGGTGTTTATTGCCCTCCCCCATCACCCGACTCTTGCACTGTCTGCCCTTCTCCTTAATGTTCTTGAGCCTTGGAAGGATTAACATCGATGTCCCATTATAGTTGTGTAATTAACAACACCTTAGAATCTGTAATATTTCCCCTTTTCATCTCAAGTTTTATTATTATGGGTCCTCTTGCTTTTGGTTAATTTGGCTAAGGGATTGTTAATTATGTTTTTATTTTCAAAGAATCAACTCTTCTTTATTTTTTGCATTGTGTTTTTTCGTTAACATCTGCCTTTATCTTGTTTCTTCCTGTCTACTGCTCTTATGTTTGTTCTGGTTCCTGGGTTTCCCAAGGGGTTTAAAGTTACCATTAAGTAATTTATTTGAATTTTCTAATTTTTTTCCCTTCCTTTCTTTTTTTAGTTTGGACACTTTCAGCTATAAACTTTCCTCTTAGGACTGATTTCATTAAATACCAAATATTTTGACACACTGTGTTTTTATTTTCATTCACATCTAGGAATTTTAAATCTCTGTCTCGATGTCTTTGACGGCCCATTCATCATTCTGCAGTACACTGTGAACCCTCAATGAGTTTCGGCAGCTTCTCTTTCTGTTTGTTTCCACCGTTCCACTGTAGTAAAACAGAACACTGGAGTTACTGAGAGTTGCTTTGTGCTCTAATATGGAACTATTTTACAGAACGTTCCATGCTGAGAAGAAAGTATATTCTTTTGTTTGGACAGAATGTTCTGTAGGTATCTGCTAGGTCCAGTTGGTTTGTGGTGCCATTAAACTTCATTGTTTCTCTAATTTTTATCCAGATGACCTGTCTTTGAAACTGAAATATAGAAATCACCCACTGTTACTGTTTTGCCACTAAAATATGACCTTATATCTAGTTATATTTGTTTATGAAATTGGTTTTACCTGTGTTTGGTGCGTGTGTGTTTACAATCGAATGTCTTCTTGATGGACTGTTCCTTTGAGGTGACTTTGTCAATTCTGTCTTACATGGTTTCAAGCCTACTTTTCCCAGTCAGAAGTAGCTATGCCTACTTGTGTCCTGGATCCACTTGCTGGAATGCTGTGTCCCATCTTTTTATCTCAGGTGGCATCAGCTTTGGTAATGAGGTGTGCTTCTTGAAGGAACCTGAAGTGGTTTCTGGGTATCCTTTCTTCTTGAGATGTGTAGCACGTGCTCTATTCCCTTCGTTATCCCCAGACGCTCCATAAACCTTTTATTGGTGAAATTTAAAATATCATAAATTATGTACACTATGTATAAGTTTTTAATCCAGGTTTATAAATATGAAAAATGGGGCTTTCTGGGAGATAGGACAGTGGTGTTCCCAAATTTCTCATAAAGGTTGATTTGTTGGTGCTGATCTGTGATGAGACTTTCCATATTTTCAAACCTTTGCAAATCTCTTCCCACGTGTATATACCAGTACTGACAATGCCAGTATGCGTCCTTGAGACATGCCCTCATTGAGTGCATTCACAAATCGGAAGTCAGTTTTAGAATTCTATTAGCCGAAATGCTAGAATGTCTTTAGCATGTCATTACGTTGCAAATCATTTCCAGTAGAAGCTCCTTAATTGCACACCAAATGGATTTGGGAATATGGAAATTTTCTCTACACATACATAGAGGCCTGAAAAACATTGCTCTGGTTTGAAATTAGAATACATTTCTGGGAATTTGTGTAGGAATGAAGATATCACTTTGAAAAACACATCTTTTGACAGTGCAGGCCTGCCATGACTTGCAATTCAAACAATTTCAGTTCTCATCAGAACGATTTTATCACAGTATGTTTCACAGAAGCAATTTTCCTTGTAATTTTAGTTTAAAACATCTTCAAGTCTGCAGCTAGAACTAATTCCACAGCCCTTCAAAGTTCATGGACAGTGGTCGAGCACAAATTTTCAACCATTTAAAAATTCAGAAGCCATTCTTAAGTTGAGAAGTGTACCAGCACAAGCTGGTCTGCTGTGTGAGACACAGTTTCGACCCCTGACCTCTGCAGTCTTCAGGAACCCTGCTCTGAGTGAACATGCTTGCGTGCCAAAGCTTTGCAGCCGATTGCTAACTTTTAGAAACTTAGTCAATGTGTTAACACCCTGATGTGATGATTCATTGCATATTGTGCATATATCAAAGCATGGTGTTTTATTTCCTATAAATTCATATAATTCAAAAAATCAGAAATTAGCGTTTTCGATTTACATTTATTTGAATAATATGAAATATCTTTACATAATTGTAGGGCATTTATATTTATTCATCATAGACTGTCAGTTTATATTCTTTCTATCCATTTTTATTGCAGTAGAATTTTATTCCAGTGACCATTCTGCACACTATGGAATTCACTCAGTAATTTCCACTGCTTTCCCTGAGCACCCAGCACTTCTCCCACAGGACAGACCTGCCTCTCCTCACAGAGTGCTTCATGCTTTGCACACATATGCACGGTGTGCACACATATGCACAGGGTGCACACATATGCACAGGGTGCGCATGCTGCTGCTTCCCCCTCACATAATTCTCACAAACCTTCCAACATTCAGATCAAAGATCACTCCTTCCTTTAGCTCAAGTGTATACAAATAACTGCCATTAAAATCTATAAAAGATTTCTATAATTAACAATTGTCCTGTAATGACCTGTCTCGCTACTAGAGTCAAAAATTGAGAATGGAATTATAATTCATCAGATTATTTATAACATGGGTTTAAAAAATCATAGTATTAACATTATTACATATTTCTAGGCTTATAAAAATAAGGTTCTGTGTAATATTCCTTGTCCAGAACTCAGGTTAATATGCAGTCAAGCTCTCTCAGACCAGTGCAATGACATGAACTGGTAGGACCAGCTATTTCAAAGGCACAAGAAAACCATCATTTAAACTGAAGAATTGAGACCAGTTTGGACCACATACCATGTGTGTGTGTGTGTGTGTGTGTGTGTGTGTGTGTGTGTGTGTGTGTGTGTATGCGTGCAGACTGCCTTAGCCACTAAACCCTTAAATATACATACACACACTGGCACAGCTAAGGCTTTTATTTTTAATGAAACTGCTTGTTGATTATTAGAAACATGCTTTTTGCTTTGTGGCTTAACATAGTTACACCTGCGTTCTTTAAGGAAATTAGACTCTGCTAGTAAAGAATACTGACAAATTTAAACAGAAAAGCGAATGCGCAGTGGCCAGATCTATTTCCTTATCTGAACGTGTCTTCCTCTCAGACTCTACTTTGTAACTTTATTGAGATTTCTTTTTAATCAACCCTTTGTCTTCTTTATTCCCAAAGGATATCCATTACCTTGCCCTGGATGTGGGTGAACGGGCACTGGCTGAAGCGGCGAGAAGAAGAGCATGCGACATTGATGGCGCGCCAGGCTCCTCTGGCGCCGGTAAGGACTAAGCGCTTTGGTTCGGGGCCTGGAGAAATGAGGTGGTTCAGCAGCGAAGAGCACTGGCTGCTCTTCCAGAGGACCCGGGTTCAATTCCCAACACCAAATGGCAGCTCACACCCATCTGTAGCTCCAGTTTTAGGGGACCTGACACCCTCACACAGACACACATGCACGTAAAACAACATACATAAAATATTTTTAAATATTCTCTGGTTCTAGGGGATTCTTAACTTAATGTCATTTCTATTGTGTTTATAGGGCATAATTAATTTATTTGAATTACAGAATATTTAAAAACAAGAATTGTTAAACTTTGAAAAATAGAATATTTGTAAATAAGCTGCAATCTTAAAAGAAATTGGTAAGTAGTAATAACCAGCAAAATTTAAAAACACATTACTTTTTATTATTTACATTTAGTATTATTATTGGTGTGTGTGTGTGCACATGCACACATTTGCATGCATGTACTAAAACACGTGTGTGGAGGACAGAAGACAGTTTGTGGGAGTCAGTTCTCCTCTTCACTGTGTGGACCTCAGGGCTTGAACTCAGGCTGTCAGGTTTGGTCGCCGGCGCCTCCCCCTGCTGTGCCCTCTCACTGCTCCACACTGCTGTTCCCATGAGATCTGGGGAGAGAGATGGGTGTACCATTACCATCGGGGCTGTTATTGAGTCAACACAGAAGCTACATAGGCATTTGCTGATACACAGATATGTCATATAATAAAATAATTCTCTCCCTTTGAGGGTATTTCAGGGTTCATAGCTGCTAATGTCACTGTTTAGTGTATTCTAAAGATAGACCAAAAGCCAGCACTGATCTTTAAAGTCCATTTAAACATTATAATGTAACAAAATGAACAGTTTTATATATAGTATCACAAAATAAAAATACACCTCATGTACTTTCTGTTTCTAAACCCAGCTATTCTAATGCTGCTGAGTGTGCTAGTATTGATATCAAATTTATTATTCCTCTTAGTTCATCTATTCTACAGACTTCAGAAAAGACCCCCAGGACTGTAGTAGGCTTGGTTTCACATGTCTGCGATTCCTAAACACAGTTCTAGATTACTCCCACTTTGAAAATGCTTGAAAGTACTATAGTGAGTGTCTTCCCCAGTGCTCAGATAAAGCTTTGGCTTTGTGGTGTTTGCACCCAAAACCACCACTTCTCCGCTTCTCTTAAATCCCACCTCCATCAGTTCTAATCCTCAAGGTGTAATGTAACATGATTAATAAAAACCCAGAGATAGATATTGGGGTTCAGCCTGAAGGTCAGAAAAGCAAAACAGCCAGCCACTGCCTCTTACCTCGACCTCAGTCCAAAATGGCTATCCTGCCTCCAGGAATCTCAGAATGAGACTGAGTCTGAGAGCTGTCTCCTCCCATCCTATATTCCTCACTAGGGCTAGGATTAAGGGCATGCACCACTACTGCCTGGTTTCCATGGCAAACTAGTGTGGCTACTGGGATTAAAGGTGTGTGTCACCACTGCCTGGTCTGTAAGGCTGACCAGAGGGACTGTTTTACTTTCTAATCTTCAGACAAGCTTTATTTATTAAAATGAAATACCACTATGGTGTAATACTGAAGGGGGCAAATTCACAGAACCAGGACAAAACAGTCAGAGTCTGACTTTGTAGAGTTTAAGTAAGGGAGAAAGAGAATCATTTTTGATGTGATCTAACACAGCCATGTGGTTATACCCATAAAACATAAAATTAACCTTAATAAGAATTGAATAGTAGCAGTAAGGTATAAAATATTTTGTCTCTTCTATTTCTTATTTCTTGGTACTATATGGTAAATTTACATTGCTCATTAGTATGACAAGAAGAGCTAAAATAAATAAAATCAAAGGATGATTGTAGCTGGAGACTTTTCTGTCTCAGTCACTACTGCTGGACCAGTTTCTCTCACGCCCACCGGTACCTGCAGCTGCTTATAAAATAATCATTCGGAGGCTTAATATTAATAACTTGTTTGACCAATGACTCAGGCTTCTTACTGACTAGCTCTACATATAAATTCACCCATTTCTAATAATCCGTGTATCACCACGTGCCCCATGGCTTACCAGTGATGCTCTGGCATCTTACTCCTCCGGCGGCTGCTGGCTTCTCCCAGATTCCACCTTTTTTCTCCCTGTATCTCTGTTTGGATTTCCTGCCTAGCTATATTCTGCCTTGCCATAGGCCGAAGCAGCTTCTTTATTAACCAGTGGTAATAAAACATATTCACAACATACAGAGGTGCATCCCACATCATATGATATTTTGTATTTAAAATTATTTTGGAAAACACAAATCCTATAAGCCAAAATTCAATAGCTCTATTATAATAAAGTCATAATATAAATTGAGACAGTGTAAATTTTGTTGACCTAAATAGAGGATTTACTCATTTTTGTGCTACGTGGTTATTTCAGGTATTCTCAATCTGAAATCATCTATTGTCTAAGTAATTAATGTGTCAGGTTGTGCTAAATACGAGAATAAACCTGGGAAGATTTGTGAGGATGACTGGTGGGGCTTATAGAATGCAGCATGGTGACAGCTGAATTGGACTTTGGTGCTCACCTGGTTACTACCAAGTCCACGGAGAAGGAATTGTCCTTCTCTGTGTGCCTAGCCTTCCTGTATACAACACAGTCTCAATGGGTACTAGATTATAGTTATAGGTTATATAGCTATAGTTATACATATCTGTATTCATATATGTTATAGCTTATAGATTAGCATGGGGTTGGGTTAGTTAAGTCATACTTTGAACAGTGACTGGCAAAGAATTAAGTTTAGTAATGGTTAGCTATTAATAGTGCCTTTCAAATTAAAGCATGGTGTGTGTTGGTCATAAGAAGAATTCTTGAGTGATAAGCTACGACACCTATAAAATACAAGTTTACAAATTCTTTTTATTATTCACCAATTCCTACCTAGTTAGGGTTTCACACTCTTTATTAAACATGGAGTAAGTTGTTTGTGTTGGGTGAGAAGTGCAGGCGCCTGTAAGACTTTCCTTACGGGAGACTATTACTGTGCCATCTGCAGTGTGTGCCTGAGAAGTCAGATTGGCATCGGCCTCAGCACAGCACAAACTATTTGCTGAATCTATATTTTACACTTTGATTCTTAACATAGGCTACGTGTGCACTATGGTCTATTGTTGATTCTAGGAATATCCTCTTAGCTATTAGGTGAGGTCTTCTCTCTGGACTATTTCTAGGATATCATTGAGCAAAAGATCCCGCATCACAGTGACTTGAGAGAGAAGGTGCCTTGCTCTGTCTCCACAACTTGAGTTGCACTCCTGATGTGGGAGTGTCATATATCAATCTGTTGATTTCATTGGTTAAGTTATAATAAACCAACTGCTTGGCCTCAGCTTAGAACATAGCTGGGAGGAGTAAACAGAATAGAATTCTGGGCAGAAGAGGAAGTGAGGTCAGACTCTGCTCTGCTCCCGGAGAGACTCGACAACTCTGCTCTCTGGAGCAGAGACACCATGGACGGAGGCTAGAATCTTCCCGGTAAGCGCACCTTGGGGTGCTTACACGCATCATTAGAAATGGGCTAGTCCAGGTGCGAGAATTAGCCTGTAAGGGCTAGAGTTCATGGGCCAAGCAGTTCTTAAATGAATACAGTTTGTGTGTTGT